TGAATACTTAATGGAACATATGAAGTAAAAAATATAAGAACTTTTTTTCTTTGAGAGAGGGAGAGAGAGGGAAAGAGAGAGAGAGCACGCGCTCATATGTGAGCAGGGCAGGGGCAGGGAGAGACTTTTAAGCAGGTTCCACAGCACAGAGCCTGAAGCAGGGCTCAATTCCAAGACTGGGAGATCATGGATGTGAGGGCGATATAGCTGCGACATCTGTCACCCCATTGATTGCCAGGGTTGACTCGGCTGATCTGGCTGGCTAGGCGGGTGTCCCCTTCCTCCCTCACGGCTCCATGTGCGTCCCTCCCGAACCTGCATGCTCAGTTGCTAGGTGGAAGACTACCTTCTCCTTCTGGCATAGAGGAGGACCGTTCTTCTGTCAAGGGTATGAGCAGCTGCACTCCCCTGCTAGAACCTCCAAACAAGCTCTTAAGACTGGGAGATCATGACCTGAGCCAAAATCAAGAGTGGGACGCTTAACTGACTGAGCCACCCAGGCGCCCCAAAAATGTAAGAACTACTAAAAGGTGTGACTATTTTCACAGAGTTGGCAAACATTAGCAAGGGTAGTGAAAATTCAATCTTCTCTTCCTAAACACTCTTTTAGGGTAAAGTCTAAAGCCCGAATGTTACACAGGACTTTTTCTAATATGATCAGTGACCTTGGACCTGGACCTTCCTTTACACATACCTTGGCCTCCAGCCCTTTTCCACCATTTGTATGTCTCCAGATTCATCTTGTATGTTTACTCCTCCACTGCACACGGGTCTGAAATATCCCTCCTTTTCTTATCTGACTGGTAAATTTCTACTCTTCCTTCAAAATACCCTTGGAGAAGCAGTACTTTTGTGATGCTTTCTCCAAAGATCCCAATGAAAACTAATTAAAATTAAGTATTTATTCCACCCTTTTCTCTATTATCTTGCATATGTAATTACCTGATTCCTTACAGCATTGCTATAATTAGTATATGTCTGTCTCAGTATTTTCTTTCTGTTAGTATTTTTAAAAGCTTGGGGCACCTGGGTGGCTTAGTCGGTTAAGTGTCCGACTTCGGCTCAGGTCATGATCTCACGGTTCGTGGGTTCGAGCCCCGCGTCAGGCTCTGTGATGACAGCTAGCTCGGAGCCTGGAGCCTGCTTCAGATTCTGTATCTCCCTCTCTCTCTGACCCTCCCCTGCTCACGCTGTCGCTATCTCTCAGAAATAAATAAAACATTAAAAAAATTTTAAAACCTTGAACACACATTAATTCATTCATTGCTCATTGAATGCCCACCAATGAATTTAGTAAATGTCTACAAAAATTTTATCATTATTACAAATCAGTAATTTGAGATTATCTTTTGAATTTATGATTCTCTACTTTCATTTCCTTAGAATGGCTCCTAGAAAGCACAAGTCTCCAAGAACATCTCACTAGTATAGGCACTTATAGTTTCATAGGTGGACTTCCACCTTTTAAAAACCATTACCTCTTTGTACCCAGTCTCTCCCCATTGCCAATCCTATGCATAATTCTGAAGATAATCTTTCTTAGTACCTATTCCTATCTAAAATGGTTTATAATTTTTAAAAGTTTATTTATTTATTTGAAGAAAGAGAGAGGGGGAATAGAGGAAGAGGCAGAGAGGGAGGGAAAGAGAGAAAATCCCAGGCAGGCTCTGCACTGTCAGCGCAGAGCCAGAGGCAGGGCTCCAACCCTCAAACCATGAGATCATCACCTGAGCAGAAGTCAGAAGCTTAACTGACTGAACCACCCAGAGGCCCCCTATCTAAAGTGGGTTAGTGACAAAAGATCCAACTCTTGATCTCTGCTCAGGTCCTGATCTCCTGGCTTTAGGGTTTGAGCCCTGCTGCAGGCTCTGTGTGGTCAGCGGAGGCTGCTTGGGATTCTTTCTCCCTCTCTCTCTGCCCCTCCTCCCCATCAAAAGTAAATAAATAAACTTAAAATAAAATAAAATGGGTTAATGATTCTTGTTTGATGAAACATTAACTCAACATTTCATTGCAATCCCTCCCTATATCTTATCCTCCACAAATACTGTATTAATACATGTGTTTATTCTGAGCTTAGGTATTTTCTTTGATAAACAGGTTGCTTGCAGTGAGAAATCTCTCCTTGCTAATAGTCAGCAACACCCATCTTGCATTCCACCTCCTTGACAAAATCTTCTAATATTTTGTCTCACTTAGCAAGGACTTGACCACTTAGAACTGTTTTCTCATGTACAACTTGTGTAAAACTTTTAAATCTCCCTCCTTTCAATACTATTTCAAGGATTTGGTAAAGAGTATGATTTTGTTTGTTTGTTGCCCTCCTCTAATTTTGCATTTTGCTAGATATAATGTATACATTAAAATAGTTGTTGATTTATTGACAAATGCTCCCCACCACATTTTGTTACTTTATATTGGCATACAACACCATAGAACTTCTATATAATGATCCTACTTTCATGTTGCCTTCTAACCATTTTTTTAAAGGATGTCATCTCAACCTATGGTTTATAAAACTGTTAAGAGTAGAAATGGATTTCTATATGGAAAGTCACTGGAATGTAGCAGGAAAAGCACTACACTGGGAGTCAGAAAAGTCAGGACTGAATTCTGCCACTTGAATGGTTTGCTGGAAAGTTCTATTACCATCATTTCTCCATCCGTGAAATAAAGACAAAACCCTCAAGAACGTTGTGAGAATTAAATGAGATACTATCTGTAAAAATATTCCGCAAATTTTAATATGCTATCCAACATAAAATCTTTCTTCTTATTATGTCTTCAAAATTATTTTGTGGATAGGGCATGATGTACATTGAGCAGACGGTCAGAAAAGTCTCCCTGGGAGTCCTGGGTCACGTAGGTGGGTCACATTTCCTCCAGTTTTTAAAGCAATAGTGGCAAAAACCTATACCTTAGCTTTTTTGTGTTTCTCTTTAGGATACAAATTATTACAGTGCTGTGCAATTTTTGGCAAAGCGTTTTCCAACGTTTTTCATTTGCTTACCAAATAAGACCTCTTGCAGTCCTATTTCTTGCTTTATCAACTCACCCGTGAAATTTGCCTTGTCAATTCTGTCTTCCATCTCACCGAAGTAGCTGTCATACTTAGAGCAGCCTTTATTCTCAACCTCGCCTGCATTTCTTTCCCGTGGGCTCCTCTTCCCCTCTACTGGCTGCCAAGGAGAAGCACATTTATTGGCACGGCCCCCAAACAGATGCCCGCCTGCTTCCCTTCCCCCTTCCTCTTTCAGCCAAAGCATCACCTGCCAAGGGCTGGTGGTTGCTGCCCCCGCTGTCCACTGCCTCACACTGCTGAGGCTCCGAGTCCTTTTTGGCAGCCTCTTCCGAAGTTCCCTTGCCCGCATCTCTCCTGTGCTGCTTGCCAGCAGCCTCCTCCTCTCGCCTGCAGCTCTCCTCGCTCCCGCCAGCCTCTCCCCCGCTCGGTCTGCGCGCAGCCTCTTCCTCCCGCCCTTGCCAGCTGCTTTACTCGCCTTTCCTCAGGCTGCTCCCCCTCCTTTCCTCCTCAGCCCTTCCCTTCGCTCTCGCCGCGAGCTTTCTTTCCAGCGCCCCCACCCTCCCTAGCCTGATGTTTTGTTAACACGCGGGATCACCTCTCCTGGGTCCCGGTGTGTATGCACGTCCACTGAATGGAACATTTTTTGGAAAGTGAATATTTTCTTCCCTCTCAGTAATTCGACTAGACACCAACCCCCAGATCCCGTGCCTACTCCCTGAGCCCGGAAAGGCTGGGTGTAGTGATGGTGTTAGAGATTCAGGGAGACAACAGACCACGGGCTCGGTCGGTGGACCCCAACAAAGTTTTGGACGCTCGGTACTTGTCATCTCAGGCTTCCCAAACTTGACCAGCCCGGCAACCTACGCTAGCGCCCAAACGGCGCACCGCGGCTCGGCGCTCCCTCTGATTCCCAGCGCCCCCTGACCTTCCAGGGACGCTTGATTGAGGTCCCAGCGCCCCCTGACCTTCCAGGCCCGCCGCCCTCCAGGATCAGGCCTGGGCCACTCCCCAGCCCAAGCCGGGGTCCGCAGGCTGAGCCCCACCCAGTGTCTGGCCGGGGAGGGGCGCACTTGTTTCAGGATGCTCGGGGAGGGGGCGGGCGAGATGAAAGAATGGAGCAGCCCAGGTTCCCGGGTTCCCGTCTCACAGACAAGAAGTGGGCGGTGTGTTAAGGACCTCACCCCAATCCAGGGTCCTTCTGGAGATCTGGCTACTTCCAGTGCGCGGTACAGTAGCGGTTCCCCTTTACAAGCCGTCTCCTTTAAGAAGAGGGCGCGCTCACTCGCTCGTGTGTGTGTGTGTGTGTGTGTGTGTGTGTGTGTGTGTGTGTGTAGTTGCGTGTGTGCTCATGTGCAGATATGTGTGCGCGCGCGCCCGCTGATGTGTGTGTATGTGTGTGTGTGCGCGCGTGTGTGCGCGCGCGCGCGCTCAGGGCCCGAGAGTCAGGCAGACCCCCGGGAAGGAGGAGTTATGTAGATTACGGATGAACATTCTGGAGGGGAGCGAGGAGAGGAGGGAAGGAGAAGCAGAGGCGAGAAGCGAGGAGCAGCAGAGGCCCTTCCCGCAGCAGCAGGAGGCGGCAGCGGCGGCGGCGGAGTGGGCGGTGGAGGAGGTGGAGGAGGAGGAGGAGGACGCACGGGCTGGAGGCGGCGGCGGCGGCGGCGGCGGCGGCTGCTGCTGCGGCTGCGACTGGGCGCTTTGAGCCGGAACCGCCGGTGAACTTGGGCGCCACGTTCCCGGTAACGCGCCCCCGAGGATGGTGAATGCAAGCAGCTGCTGACCCTGTCTCCGCCGCTGCTTCTCGGGGGCTGCCGAGTGCTGGGCCCTCAGTCTCCTCCCCTTGCCGGGCTGTGGGTGAACCTGCAAGCTCCTTACCCACCCGGAGGACTTTTTTTTGAAAGGAAACCAGGGAGGGAGGGAGAGGGAGAGAGGGAGAAAACGAAGGGGAGCTCGTCCATCCACTGAAGCACAGTTCACTATGATCTTACTCACATTCAGCACTGGAAGACGGTTGGATTTCGTGCATCATTCGGGGGTATTTTTCTTGCAAACCTTGCTTTGGATTTTATGTGCTACCGTCTGCGGAACGGAGCAGTATTTCAATGTGGAGGTAAGAGTATGAGAGCTTTCTTCCTTCCCCCTTTCCTGAGCTGCTCCCTGAAACATTGTTCACTCCTGGGATCCTGGTAGCTCAGAGCAGCCAAGGTCTCGACACATTGTTTCCCTTGCAGCCGCCGAGACCCTTGTTGAGTTTCCCTGTGTCTTAGGTGATGGATGCGCGCCAGACTGAGAATCCGTTATCCCCAGCAGCACAAAGCACGATGCTGCGCGCTCGGAGATACATTTGTAGCCGGTCCAGGCTTGTCACCCAGGGAAAAGGCGAAGTCCTACATATAGCAAACGTGTGGCTTAATAAAAGCAGTTTGAGTTTGTGATCAATAAACTGTTCAGGAAATACAGAATTCATTGCCTGGCATCATGTGCCGCCTTGGTATTGTTCCTGAAATCTTTCTCCCCATGTTCTGTGCCTAACAAAGGAGGTTAAAATCAAAGAATCTGGAGGAGAGCGTGGGAATACTTGATATGTTTAATAACATTACTTTGTGACAAAACACTTGACTAGACAGAGTCTTTTTCTCATTTAGACATAACTTAATACACTGTAACTAGATCTGGCTACACAGAGGACATGAAATCCATCTCTTTTAAAGTGTCTTCTTTTCCCCTCCCCCGCCAGTGGAAAATAAACGTGGCCCAATGTAATAGTTCTGAGGTGTGTTTTTAATTTGATTTCACACTCTCATGGCAAAACCGAGAGGTTTTAGTCTGTCATTTGCTTTACTTTGATAGCTTTGGGAACAGACAGACATAAAGCAGAAGGGAACTTGAGGATAAGGACTTGTCAGACCTCTGCCAAAGTACTCTTCCTGTCATCAACTCAGCACTAAAGCCAGTTATGTGCAGTAAATCAATGGAAGTGTGTATACACCTGGGCTTTACCACCAGTTTATAACATACACAGTGGAATACAAAGACAGTAAGAGGGTTTGACTGAAATAGACTCCTTTTGATTAGATCTCCTGGGTTCTGACATCTCAAAAGAATTACAATTAAGTCTCTGAAGAATGATGTGATTTTTAAAATATTGTTGATTCTTTAAAGCTTACTGTCATTTTGTTGGGAGTGTGTGTTTACACAATAGCAGGACCTGTTGCACAGCATTTGAACATGTTTCATGTAACAGATTTATATACAAAGTGTGCATAATAAATGCCATGTGTGAGGCCATATTCTGAATATAACCTTGTGTTTATATAAACTGTTCTTAGGACTCCATGTAATAAGTGATGGTTGGTACAGAAACAAAGCACTTGGAAAAGTAAGAACCATTATCAAGAGTTGAAGAAGTTTACAGATGTTAAGTATGATTATATTACACAGAAACCCCAGTTTGAAAACCAAAACTGGTTAACCTTTTGAAAAATACCACTTTGTTTTTCTGAATAAAAAGAGAGATGCAAAAGGGGGTGAAAGTCCAGACTTTCTCTTGATTGCAAATTTGAACTTTCAGAATTACATGGCACAGATGGGTTTTTCTGTCTAATACTGAAATCAAGGGATAATTTAATGTTGAAATGAAGGAATACTTAGTTCATAGACTGAAGGAATGAAAGTGGCAAGCACTTATGAACAGAAGGCCCATTGCTTCAGTTTGGTGGTGATGTTGACGGTGGTAAGGTGGGGCTTGGGGGAGGTGGGCAGAAGTAAGTACTTGGTTTTATTTTGCTCACTATGGAGTAGAAGGGAGAGTCTGGATTGATTTCTACTTGCTTTGGGAAAGTCTTAGATTTGCTTTCAGACATTGTTGGGATACCATCAGTGTTTGGATGATTATTAGGTTTCCTTTTTGAGGCTATACATAAATTCTATTGTATTTCTTTACATTTGGAATCCCTTAAGCAGTTCAATCAGATATTATGCAAGAAAAGTTAATTTTACTAAAACAAGATTTCATTTTAATTTTTCATGATCTTTTCTTCGAGATATATGTGAAAAATGGTTCATGGAAAAAAAGAGTCATTTCCCCACTTTTAGAGTATTTAAGTTATGCCATCCATGTTTATTACACTATGCCAATATTTAAGAATGATAAGAGGCTGGTACCATCTGAGACTTTAAGAACCTTATTTGATACATAAAAGATTTGCTATTGATTTAGATTAGATGATGCTTCGTAGTTTGTATTATTTCCAGTTAGTTTTTTTAAGCACTTGGGCATATCCTTAGTTGAGTTTATATACTTCTTTATGTGTCATGATAACCCCTGTTTTTCTTTTTTAATCATAAGAGTATCTGCTAGCAATTTCAACATACTGTAAAGAACATGGGATGACAGGGTCTTTTCAGACATGAATTTCTGCCTGATCTACCTTTATCACAGAGTTCCTTTTGGTGAAAGCGTGAATAGAAAGAATAGCCCATCATCACATCTTCTCTAGAAAAGCACTGATTGTGTTCTTCATTCTTGGTTGCAGAACATACACTGGGAATGCTTTATTTGATTGATTCCCAAGGACAGTCTTAAAATAAACAGTAATGGTATCAATCATGCATGAACCTCATATGATCATATTTTTTTTCTAGCAAGCACACCAAGTTATTATAGTTGGAACGAAGCTTCTGAGAGATGCTTTTTTTTTTTTTTTTTTTTTTTTGCTGACAGCTGAAATTACAATGCTTTATTCCTCACTGAACTTCACAATTGGTGGGAACACTATACTTTCTATCCCTGTACTTTAAGGTTTAAAAACATATTTTTCTCTGAAGATGTGGGGATTGGGTAGAAATATTTATGTTAACTCTTTCCTGCTTATTTTTTTTTAAGAATATAAGCATTTGGGATTTTCAGTTATCAGAGCAGGAGATATTTCTTAATATGCTGATGAAAGCCTGTGACAGAGAAAGAGTGCATTTTGTTTATTTGTTTTTGTTTTTAAGAAGTGAAAGGGAGCGTCTCAGTAGTTAAGAAAGGGTCAGACACTACCAGTAGTAGTACTGTGGAAGAGATTCAGTTCATTCGTCTCCTTATATATTTTAGATAGAACAGATTTTTATGCCAAATTTTCCATGTATATTTGTTTAAAGATTTTTGTACACTATTGGACCCATTTTGGGGGTGTGGGTCTTTCAGTGTGTAAGTCATTACTATGATGCAAAAGAAGTACATTGTTAATGTTAAGTAAAGTCAAAGACTCCTATAATTGGACAGCAGTCTCAAGCAGAGGTGTTCATTGGTCAGATGAAGCTAAATTGTTAACAAAGAATCAGGATTGAAACTCTGTGCTCTAAAAAATTACATTGTCTCTAAAATAATGTTGTTATGTGGAAGATCATGATCCTGGGGCTCTTTATTTTTTAAATTTTGCGGGTTTTTTAATACTCTGCAAGCATTTTTGTTATGAAATTTGAGATAGTATATAGTTCATGAGAGTAATAACCTTCATCATCAACTTTGATAGTTTGTCAAAAGTTAAATATATTAGCAACATATTGTTGTTTCTTAAACAATCATACACATTTCTAACCAGGAAAATTATTTTAAGCCAATTTAATGGTAAAATAAAGATGTGATATTCTGAAAGGTGCACATATCAAAGCATAAGAAGTTGATTACTTATTTTGTGACAAATATTATAAAGCAAAAATTGATTTTGTTGTTCCTAATTAATGAAACAAGAGAGATTCTGTATTTTTAAAAAAGATATTTTATGACAAATACTATGAATCATGAGTGTAACCATTTCCTGCATTCTTCCTACAGTATATTTCTTTAACTGATTTAGCATTTATCTATTCACCTTTGTCAGGTTTATCTGAATCCACTTGAAAGGTCAGAATTTACTTGGAGTAGCTCTGTACTACATATAAACTTGGCAGTAATTGGTGATGAGGCATTTCAGAGATTAAAGATCTCGTTTACACATTTTAAAATGTCATATATTGGGGGTTACTCCTTTTCATATATCTTGCTTTCTGCTTGTTTAATCAACATGCATTATTTCATTTGCTCATGGAAGGTTGCTGATGCTGTGGTCTGGTCATCCCCATTGAATAAGGGACTGTTCTGATTACATCCCATAATTCCCCCTGTAGCAGTTTTTACTGGGCAAGAACAGGGACTACATGACTGATTCAGAAAGGTTTTTATCTACTGCAAGATTCAAGCTTTCCAAGATGTCCCTGGTATGCTGGCTGTTCAGAATGCTCATAAGGACCAAAAACTATGACCAAGAGACCAGAAAACAGCTTCTCCTGTGTGTCCCACCTTATGCTTTTCTCTGTTCAGACTTTTCTGCCCCAAATCTAGGGTTATTCATGAAACCCTTATAGGTGAGTGTATGCCAGCAAGATAGGATATCTCTTACCATCCCCCTGAGAAGTCCACTGAGAGTAACTTTCCAAGTCCATCATTCTCTATACAGTTGGGTTTCCTCTTTTAGGAGCTTCTTCCCCATCAAGTAAGGATAGAGTTAGCTTCAGTAACAGCTTTTTAAATCTCTGGAGTCAAGTTAAAAGTGACAAGTTTAAAGGTTTTACTTTTTCTTATTCATGCTATTTCAGGTTATGAACATAAAATTTTAATGTACTTGTTCAGTGGTATAATTCTTTTCTCTGAAGTTGGATTAATCAATTATTTTATGTAAATGTATTTCACTGCCTGACCTATCCCAACCACTCAAAATATACCTGTTCAGAATATTTGGTAAATGACCATTTGGACTTATTTCAAGACAAAAAAAAAAAAAAAGCCATTGGACATTTGAATCAATTAGTTAAATGTGTTCAATGTCAAAAGAAAAAAGATTCCTTTAGGTCTTTCAGGAACTTTCTGACCCTTCAGCATGTATATTCAAATAGAGGAAGTCATTTTTTATGTTACTTTCTGTCACAATTTATTTTATATATCTGTGAATATAATTATAGCCATCAAATTGTTCTTTATTTTGGAGTAGTATAATGATTAAGATCACATATTCTGACATCAGATTGCTAGATTCTAATCCCAGCTCTTTTACTTGCAAGTTAGTTATTAAGTTAATAATGAACTAG